TTTCAGGGGAGAAGCTGGATTACCGCTCCTGCGAGGCCATGGAGGAGATCTTCAAGCGTCTCCAGTTCAAGCTGCTCGACCTGGAGCACACGGGCCTGGACGAGGACGTGAGCGCCCCTTCCCGGGAATCCCGGGAATTCCGGGAATTCCGGGAATCTTGGCGGGATTTTCGGGAATTCCGCCTCGGCCCCTTGGCAGATTTGGGATTTTCCGGGGGATTTTCCCGCCGTTCCCGTCCCGGCCCTGTTGGTTGGTTTGGTCGCCCCCTGAGATGATTCGGATTTTCCGGGGTTTTTCTGGGAGTTTTTTGGGAATTTCTGGGATTTTTACGGGGTTTTTCCAGGGTTTGTCTGGGATTTTTCTAGGATTTTTCTTGGTTTTTTTCTGGGAGTTTTCCAGGATTTTTCTGGGATTTTTCCAGGGTTTGTCTGGGATTTTTCCATGGTCTTTCTGGGATTTTTCTGGGATTTTCCCAGGGTTTTTCTGGGATTTTTCTGGGATTTTTCCAGGGTTTGTCTGGGATTTTTCCAGGATTTTTCTTGTTTTTTTCTGGGAGTTTTCCAGGATTTTTCTGGGATTTTTCCAGGATTTTTCTTGTTTTTTTCTGGGAGTTTTCCAGGATTTTTCTGGGATTTTTCCAGGGTCTTTCTGGGATTTTTCTGGGATTTTCCCAGGGTTTGTCTGGGAATTTTCCAGGGTTTTTCTGAGATTTTTCCAGGATTTTTCTGGGAGTTTTCCAGAGTTTTTCTGGCATTTTTCCAGGATTTTTCTGGGATTTATCCAGGTTTTTTCTGGGGTTTCTCTGGGAATTTTCCAGGATTTTTCTGGGAGTTTTCCGGGATTTTTCTGGGATTTTTCCAGGTTTTTTCTGGGGTTTCTCTGGGAGTTTTCCAGGGTTTTTCTGAGATTTTCCCAGGATTTTTTTGTGGCTTTATCTGGGATTTTCCCAGGATTTTTCTGGGTTTTTTTCCAGGGCTTTTCTGGGTTTTTTTCTGGTATTTTCCCAGGATTTTCCCATAATTTTCCCATAATTTTCCCATAACTTCCTGGTGATTTTTCCCATGATTTTCTGGTGATTTTTCCATGATTTTCCCATGATTTCCCAGTGTTTTCCTGTGATTTCCCCATGATTTCCCCATGATTTTCCCCACGATTTCCCCGTGATTTTCCCGACATTTTCCTCTTGTTTTTCCATGATTTTTCCATGATTTCCCCACGATTTCCTGGTGATTTTCCCGATATTTTCCCGTTGTTTTTCCACTATTTTTGCATGATTTCCCCATGGATTTCCTGGTGATTTCCCCGATATTTTCCCGTTGTTTTCCCACGATTTTTCCACGATTTCCTGGTGATTTTCCCACAGTTTTCCTGCTGTTTTCCTGACGTTTTCCCACAATTTTTCCACAATTTCCCCACAATTCCCGGTGATTTTCCTGATGTTTTCCCACAATTTTTCCACGATTTCCCCACAATTTCCCGGTGATTTTCCCGCAGTTTTCCCGCAGTTTTCCCGCAGTTTTCCCACGATTTCCCCACCATTTCCCGGTGATTTTCCCGATATTTTCCCGATATTTTCCCGTTGTTTTCCCACCGTTTTCCTGACGTTTTCCCGCGGTTTTTCCACAATTTCCTCACCATTTCCTGCAGTTTTCCCGCCGTTTTCCCACTGTTTTCCCGCCCTTTTCCCGCCGTTTTCCTGCTGTTTTCCCGGTGATTTTCCCGCCGTTTTCCCACCGTTTTCCTGCCCTTTTCCCGGTGATTTTCCCGCCCTTTTCCCGCCGTTTTCCCGAGGTTTTCCCGACGTTTCCCCGCCGTTTTCCCGCCCTTTTCCCACCATTTTCCCGCCGTTTTCCCGATGTTTTCCCGGTGATTTTCCCGATGTTTTCCCGGTGATTTTCCCGCCCTTTTCCCCCCTTTTCCCGGTAATTTTCCCGCCCTTTTCCCGCTGTTTTCCCGGTGATTTTCCCGCCCTTTTCCCGCTGTTTTCCCGAGGTTTTCCCGCCCTTTTCCCGCCCTTTTCCCGCCGTTTTCCCGCCCTTTTCCCGAGGTTTTCCCGCCCTTTTCCCGCCGTTTTCCCGAGGTTTTCCCGCCCTTTTCCCGCCGTTTTCCCGAGGTTTTCCCGCGTTTTCCCAGGGCGCCGCGGCGCTGTTCGACATGATCGAGTACTACGAGTCGGCCACGCACCTCAACATCGGCTCCAACAAACACCTGGGGGCCCGCGGCTGGCAGGCGGCCGCCCACATGATGAGGAAGGTGAGAATTCCCAAAATTCCCCAATTCCCGGGAATTCCCGCCCCAAATTCCCAAAATTCCTGAGTTTTCCCCCCAAAATTCCCGAGTTTTCCCCCCAAAACTCCCGAGTTTTCCCCCAAAATTCCCGGGGTTCCTGAGGGATTCTGTCCCTGGGAGGGGCAGGCGGCCGCCCACATGATGAGGAAGGTGAGAATTCCCAAAATTCCCCAAATTCCCGGGAATTCCCGCCCCAAATCCCCGAAACTCCCGAGTTTTCCCCCCAAAACTCCTGAATTTTCCCCCAAAATTCCCGGGGTTCCTGAGGGTTTCTGTTCCCTGGGAGGGGCAGGGTGGGAGCCAGAGGTGATGAGGAAGGTGAGAATTCCCAAAATTCCTGAATTCCCGGGAATTCCTGCCCCAAATCCCCAAAACTCCCGACTTCTCCCCCAAAATTCCCGAGTTACCCCCCAAAATTCCGGAGTTTTCCCCCAAAATTCCCGGGGTTCCCTGAGGGTTTCTGTTCCCTGGGAGGGGCAGGGTGGGAGCCAGAGGTGATGAGGAAGGTGAGAATTCCCAAAATTCCCCAATTCCCGGGAATTCCCGCCCCAAATCCCCAAAACTCCTGAGTTTTCCCCCCAAAATTCCCGAGTTTTCCCCCAAAATTCCCGAGTTTCCCCCCAAAATTCCCGGTGTTCCTGAGGGATTCTGTCCCTGGGAGGGGCAGGGTGGGAGCCAGAGGTGATGAGGGAGGTGAGAATTCCCAAAATTCCCCAATTCCCTGGAATTCCTGCCCCAAATCCCCAAAATTCCTGAGTTCTCCCAAAAAACTCCCGAGTTTTCCCCCAAAATTCCCGGGGTTCCTGAGGGACTCTGTTCCCTGGGAGGGGCAGGGTGGGAGCCAGAGGTGATGAGGGAGGTGAGAATTCCCAAAATTCCCAGAATTCCTCGGACTCACTCCTTGAAATTCCCAAAATTCCTGAGTTTCCCCCCAAAATTCCTGAATTCCCCCCAAAATTCCTGAGATTCCCCCCAAAATTCCTGAATTCCCCCCAAAATTCCTGAGTTTCCCCCCAAAATTCCTGAGTTTCCCCCCAAAATT